CAGCTTTTGTATAAAATGTAACGAAGTTCATCGAAAGTCGATTGCTGGAATTTAATTTAATTTATGACCTTTATAACATTGAAACAATTAGAAACAATCTGAATTATTTTTGTGACGCGAATGTTTAGATCATGCTAAATCAGAATCTCGGGGAAATGAAGTCCAGTAAACAATGCGGTACGTCAGGTATTTATTAATTTGCGAATAATTCGTGTAACGTAAATGTATGAGCATATACGCGTCGTCGTCACTGCGTCAGCGCAGTTGCGTGGTTGTTCCACTGAACTGCGCGTCGAGGATGCGCAGTGACTGTAGTATTGTCAGTCGCGCGCGAGTCGTGCAGCGAGACGCACACGTGTCTTTTATTCATTAGCAAGATACAAGAGTATGTCTGTCACGAAAAATTAATGTTAAACACCCTGATTATTTTATTACTTTTTCTCGTAAGATAAGGAATACAAAAATTGGGGAAACATTAGTCTCCCACATGATATCTTCTTGCACTTCCTTGGCCGAAGAAGCTTTTTCTCTTCGCTCTACTTTTTCAATTTTGTCAGTGTTTCACGTTCAACCTAGTGTCTATCCAAGTTGAACAATAACGTCTAATAGTTGACCGTGTTACCGCGATTTCCAAGCGGAGAAGGAGGAGAGCATTCCCCTCGGACGAACATAGAAATATCATCGCGAAAACGGTGCACGACCAAAGACGAATCGGGTAAACAAAATTATCAGAGACACGGGGTTTGCGCGCGGAGAATAAATTTAGATTCAACCGATTGTTCGATTCAGGAGCGTAGGATTGGCTCGACGAAGACTACTGTTCTGGTTTCGCGGTTCGCGTGTACCGCGTCGCGAATAATCTTCTCGGCGAACTCCCCAGGGGCAAGAAGCGAAACAATATTTTGGCAAGCTGCTCCCTCGTCCCACAGTCGACTGACTCTCCGGGCGTTCGTGGTTTGCCTTCGAACTCGAGCAGGAAAGCGAACAAGGTTACCCGAAGGATTTGCATATTTCTATTTACGAGACCGAGCGGATCCGAGTTTCTCGCTCGGTTTTCCATCAAACGTTCCGCGTTACCTCCAAAAAATTCGCCGGTTCTACGTTGCGAACTTCGCAGCCGTGCCTCGAACAAGATTTCCCAGAGTTTGTTATCTCGTTGTACCCGAATCCACGCTGATATTCACTTGTTTGTCGGTTACGTTACTGGATCGTCGAGAGTTAAGGCGCAGCTCCGGTTTTCGTAGCTACTCCGACACGATAATTGCAATTTCGCAGCGTTCACTGACAGGAAGTTGATTTTGTCAGAAGCCGATGGCAAATTTGTCGAAACGGGAGTAGATTATTTATCGGTACACCTGATACCTATTTCTAACGGTACACCGTTTAGATTAGTCTACAGTGGTTGGTACGTAGGTGGTACCGTTCAGAGGGGACATCGATTTCCTGGCGAGCGATTCGATGCTCGTACACGGTTCCTCGCATACAAGAGCTCGCGCGCTGTCTGTCATGTGCTGCACGTACGCGTGCACCTTTGCGTGCATTATTAGATGACCGACGTGTATTTCGCCAGAAGGCAAATAGAGATGGAATTATTCCAAAGCTGGCTAACCTACGGTGACTATGCGTTCTCACCCTTACCAACGTACGTTGCAACCGACGTATGTATTCCAGCGAGTCACTGTGTGCGTTCACACGTAAGAGTTCCGCACAGGCTGGGACTAATATCGCCGGATAGATTTCGCTAAAATTAGAACCGACGTCGAGCCAGCCCGAAGGGTTACCATTTCGTCTACGTTCGTTCGCCTTCGCCTATGATCTCCGAGTAAAATTAGAGTCTCGATCATTCCTATCTTTGTACCAAAGGTAAAGAACCTTCCCGATGCCGAAGCCGGCTAGTTATTGTTACCGCAAGATTAATATCTTCTCAAAATTGAAGGCGATCCAGCGTCCGCTGTTGAGTCTGTCCGTTGAGACTCGAATACGCTAAATTCTCGTTGTATCGCTTTACATGGATTTCCACGTCGTAAGCACAGGAATTCACGAAGACCGTAGAATGCCATTGCAAATCCTCTGTTGAACGCTAGATTGGTACGCGCTGTTGCGTTGAAGCTGCTACGCGCTGTAATCGTTACACCCTATAATGCTGCACGTTGTAATTCCCATGCGTTATAAACGTTACAAATTGTATCGTTAAGCGTTATAATCGTTACGAGTCTCGAATGTTACGTGATATAACACCTGCACTCTGTAATCCCTGCGCGTTGTAATCGCCGCGCGCTGCAATCGCTACGCGTTGTAGCTCCACGCATCCAACTGTATACGCGATTCCGCAAAACCGCCACAATATTGAACCGGTTAACCTTTCGGTCAACTCGATATATCTATTGGTAATTTCAACAATTTTTCGTTGCTGCCCATCGGTGATTATATAACGAGAGACCTACATATATATGTATATAACATGCATGCTTCCCAAAAGTGTTACGTAGCCGTAGTAATTTTTCCAAATATTATTTTTCATCCCCTAGTTTGTTGGCAGAGAGCTCGTGTCCCTGTTGGTATCCGACAATTAAATGCTCGTTTCTAATGGTAGTAGCAGGCAATCGTAGAAGCTTGTACGGCAGGGAACAATTAAATTGAAACTGGACTCGGGTAGATTTTCTGGCGTGTCACGTTCTACGAGTACGACTGTACTCGCTCTTTGGAGACACTTTTCACGAGACCAACGAGCGGACGATTAGATTTCGAGCCGCAGTTTTCCAGATCTTTCGTGCTCCTTCGAGGGAACGTTACGTTCCTGTCTCCCAAACGTACCTTTACCTAACGTTTCATGGGAGAGAGGAAAGGTAAAAGTTAACGCTTCACGATATTCCGTGTTTAGTTAATGGAGCTTTTTATTTGGTACCTTGCACCGTAAGCATAATTCTTCATAAATTGCACGAACGATGGATATAGTCGAGTCGATAAAGCATAAAACGTGATTTCGAATAACTCGATGGATAACACCGTGAGGGATGGATCTTGAGAAATCTGTTTATTTTTAACGAAGTCTGGATTAGCGAGCGGATCGATGATCGTCAAGAATCGTTTCTCGTTAAATTACTCCGGATGCTTGTTTAATGCCGAAACGATGGCAATTCGAAGGACGTTCGTTTAAAGTTTAATACAACGCTCGATTTAGATCCCGTTACCCCCGTCCGGTTCTCGATCATTACAGCTTTATGTAGATTTATGGTACGTCGTATTTTATTGGCGGATATCGGCGAAGTTGTATTTATTCGGTGAACGATAGTGTGTACCGTGCTTTGCCGTGCTCGTTCCTAAGGGAGGTCGAGGACTCTCTCTCTCTTTTGCTTTTTCTTCCTCTTCGTCTCACCGACAGTCTCCTCTCGCCGTCTCCGTCCCACTCGCGTGAGTAGAAAATACTGGCATGACATTTATATTAAACTCTGCAAAACTATCGATCCACGCGCGTATATATAACCCAGCGTCTTTCCACGCAAATACATATTTATTTTTAAAATTTTCTGCTTTACAGCTTGATCGTCCTGTACCGCCTTCGATCTTCGATCGATTCTTCGACTTTTGTTCCTTTATCCGATGCCAGAACAACTTTTCCCTGGTTTTTAACCTTTCGATCGACGGATACAGGGCCACTTTGACCACGACGATGTCGTCCTGTCGAAGTGGCTGTTTCTTAAAGTGTCCGCTTACTTTTCAACAAACGATTCAAAGTTCGCTATGCAACGAACATTGTTATCTGTATAAGCGTGCTTTGCTCGACGATATCAGAGTGGCACGTTTCGCTATAAATAAGCAACGTCGAAACGATTTGTTCATGAATATACAAGATACCTCGGGAATCAAAATGACCCTGTATCCGAAAGGAGATGCAGTCGGTTCACGCCGTGTCCAACTGGGTGGTTCGTTTAAAGTGCGGGTATTTAGCAATTTATGGCTGGTTGTCGTAGCCGGAAACGCGTTTCTGCGACGGAACTGCCGGCTGGTTGAGCCGCGAACATCGCATTAATGTCGACCAACCCAATTTCCTAGAAAACGCAACGGACGAATTCGAGCGGATAAACTACGGCGACGCGAGTAACAATGCTCGATCTCTGTGAGCTACTATTTCGAAATAATAAAAGGGAAACGTTTTTTCTCTCTCAACGTTATTTTGTCGTTGTTGTTGTTTTATCCTCTGCGAGTGACATTTGTTTTAATGCTTTACAACGGTGCCGCTCTCCCTCGTCATTCCAATTTGACGTAATTCACGGTCGTTTGTGCTTTTACCGCATTCCTTTTTGTTCCCGATGCTTTTAGTATTATAACTAGACACTTGCGGCTACAATTTCGTTTATTCGAGATCCAATTTTCTTATATTACCGAATATCGTTAGACGGTATTCCTTGCTTCCAGAAACGGTGGTTGAAACGTGTCGGGAATGTGTCTCGTTGACGGCGAGTGCGGAAAGTAGTATCGAGGTAGCAAGAGACAGATTACGTCCAGACGACGGATCATCGGTACGACGTCGATGGTCACGAACGAGTCGAAATCGTTACAAGAAGTTGTCCCCGTGCTTATCTCGCGACGTCGATTAGAGATCGTTCGATGGCCTTCCGCTCAACCCCTATTATCTCCGTCTGATTGTGGTTGAACGTCGTGGACGCTGTCACTCGTCGATTAAACTCGGATACAATAGGATTTCCGAAGTCTTCTGGGACCGAGAGACTTTGCCGCTGGACTTTCGAGGTTTTCTCTTTTGTCCGTCGCCGGCCACTCGGTTCTCTCTTTCTCTTTTCTCATTTACACCCCTGGAAAAACGCGTAACATTCCCGTGTTCGATACCCTCTCGCTGTCCCCCGACCTTCCGCTTCGAACCGCCTGCTTTCGGTCACGCGATCGCTCTTGCGGGAATTTTCCTCGGCTGTAAATTGCAAAAGTTCCAGCTACGGGGTTCAGCTATCCCTGCCGAAACTAACTGTTGTTTCTTCTTCTTTCAGATCTCAAGGCATCCCTCTGGATCCGGTAGGAGCACACTCGCGGGGTAAGTTCTCTTTAATAATCGCGTCGCCGCCCTTCGCACGCGATTCTTCGCTCTTGTCTGCTTCTCGAGAAAGAGTTCATACTTTTAATTATCCGTATCTTGGCTATTCATTTCTGTCGGCACCGCTCGAATAATTCTCGCGATCCCTGAACAAATACTGTTCGTCCGTTTCGAGGAATCGTATACTTTGAGCGATACATCATCCTCCTGGCTGGTTGCTCCCAAGATAAATTGGTCGAACGTATTTGCGAGAGCGAGAAACGTGTCTGGAACATTGAACTTGAACGTAAGCAACGCGTTGAACGTTATTTAGGGGTTGCGGAGCACTCGTTTCATCGCGATCCGGACAAAAGCTTACGTGGGTCTAGAGGGTCGAACGACGCCCGGTTAACGGCTCGCATTGTGTCTGACCAGGCAAAGGGGGATCAGGTGTCAAAAGCTACTCTCGAACCCCTTGCTCTGTCTCGTTATTATCCATTACGCGAGGCGCGCGTCGTCGTTGCATTTGTCTTCTTTTTTCTCGCGACGCATCGAACCGTTCTTCCGGAAAAGTTCTCGATCCAGTTGAAGTTTCGATCCAACCTTGGAAAGTCCATGGAAACGCAGCGTCTCAGGATAATCGAGAAGTTTCGTTCGCGCGTTCCAAGCAGCATGCTGAGCGAAGCACAAAGTCTTAGCTAGATAACGGAGAAGGCAACGAGGCGGGAAATTTTCTCGACCTACCGAAAACTTTTCCATTCTTCGCCGATTCTGAAGCAACGTCTATGGCCTGTGTTTTCCGCGATGAATATCGCGAGAAAAGTTTATGGAAGCAACATCTAGACAGCCGGCGAAACGGACGAATGCGATAGACGCGTTCGTTAACGCTTCCGGTACGATGACCCGTGAAATTTCAGCGGTCCCTTTGATCCGCTGAAGAATCACGCGGTTGAATTATTAATGCCCGTATGCTGGCATGCATACATGCATAGGTTTATGTTAATTGCGAGGTCACGGGTTTGCTCGCGAAAGATTACAAAAATATTTCTAAATCACGGATTTTATTTTCGTCTCTTTTTAAACGAAATTTCTCGAATTAACACCGTATCGCTTTAAATTCTTCCACGAACGTCACGAAATCCATTAGAGGATCTAATTTTAAGTTTTAAATTGACACGAGGCGAACTCTATTTTACGACGTTTCGATATGCAACGTAATAATAAACGAGGTCCCATAGCTATTTTTGCAAGCGTCGCCGTTTCTTGCTCCCGACGACTCGAATCGCGAGCGATAAATCGTAATTATTGCCTTCTATTTCCGCTAAAAATTAATTGCTCCAAGAACGGATCTTCTGACAGCAGATTAATTTTAGCTGACGCTGGTATCTTCGCCTGCGGGAAAACAATGGCACGACAAAGCTCGAGATCGCGAAAGTCGATATTTTCGGCAAAAGTATAAAAAATAGGGGAGCAACCGTTCCGTTTAAGAAACGTACAGATTTTTGGAACGGACAACCTGACCCAGGTAGAATACGTTTGTTCGAACATCTGTGAAACGATATACCGCCACGGAGAAAATGAATAAATTAACAGCGGAGCACTTCCTGGTTTTCGCCCGCGCGGTAACTTGCGCGTACTTAATTAAATTTAACGCGGTGCTTGGTCCAGGCTTTCGCTCTCGGACTTTGCGTGCCTTTCACGGAAGTCGGTCGCCGGGAGTTGTTCAACCGACGTTGGTCCAACGATGTCGTTTAAATATTTAATCTCTCGGAACACCGTAGCTCGCAAAAGGCGCCAACTTTGAAAGTCACACAAATCGAATTACAAATCCGTTTGCAGAATTTTCGAAGGTACTTGCCAAACTCGAACGGCGAACCTACATCGACGGGATAATTGTACGCGTACCACGTGTTCCCTAAGAGGAATTAAAGCGATCCTGCGCGAAATATCTCGGGCACCGCGGAAAAAAGTGGGAGCGGAACGAATACGTCTCGGAAGAATCCGTTTCGCGAGGCGAACGCGAGAAATCTGTTAGGCGAAAAGGGGGAAAGGGAGAAAACGAAACGCGGAGAGCGACAGTCGGAGAAGGAAAAAGGCAGATGACACGAGGGACACGAGCAGGGCACCTTTGGAAGTCGTTACGAGCTTGGATGCCGCCCTTCCGCCCGATCAATATT